TTTTTTGCCACCTGCAAGTTTTGTTCTGGATGAGTATATTTGGACCGTTTAGTTGATTCGAAAAACGTAATTTCGAGCCGCCACCAGCAGGGGGCGCTGGGTTCCCTTACATTTCAATAAGCGGAGGAGTGAGAGGTGCATGAAATGGAGAAAAATGGCGGATCATGTGCAGGTAAGCAGAGGTTTCATGTTTTTGTTACCGACAGTTTGTTCTACAGCGGGAAGATGAGGTTGAGCCTCGGTCCAAATGCGGTCCTGCAGGCAGGGGGTCGGTGAGCAGCGGAAAGGGATGCAGTTAGCGGCGGGACGCGGCGCTGTGGACACTTAAAGAAAGGATGAGGCAGCCTGTGTTGACTCGTGGCCTGCTGTCATTGCGCTAGCTTGTGTTAGCTACTGGACGGAGCCAGAACAGACACCGGGGAGCAGTGCGGTTCCAGTCTGTGAGGCTGCCGGGGTCCGTTCCGGTTGGGAGGCTTATACCGACCGGCTTCATGGTGTGCTTAGCTGGCTGATCATCAGGAAAATCAACAGTAAAACACAAATAGCTGCCTGTGTACCACTAGCTTTCAGGCTAACATGCAGGGGTTGAGTGTGAGTTGGCGCCAATTTGTTCCACATTAGGTGCGTTTATCCTGTCGGAATTAGCGATCCGGTGGAGAAGCGGACACTTTGCCCCGGTGCCCTAGCTGTTAGGGACAGAGCTCCCCTCATTGCCTCCTGTGTTGGTCCATCTATCCGGGCGCTGATGCATGCTAAGCTAACGCTAGCTACAGCTAGACGTCAACTTCTCCCGCCCGAGTTCTTAGAGAGCATAACCGAGTCCCTCAGCGACGTGAAACACTCCGTGTTTCCACAGCGGTGGGTGTTTGGGGGAGGCAGTTTGCCAGGCACCGGCAGGTTAGCAGCCGTTTGTTGCTAACAGTGCAGCTAGCAGCGCCGTGTTTGGTTCAACCGGGACACATGTCTGAGTCTGAGACGGGACAGCGCTCAACTTTCTGTTTCACCGGCTCATCCCACAATAGCCCCCAGAAAGCCATTTCTGGTTTATTTTATTTATTCGAAAACACCAAATGAGACACATAGGAGATGTTAACCCTTTATAGGGCACTTTTACTTTGAAAATCTAAATTTAAAGCCAATAGGGTGTAACTTTGTGATAAAGGCTGGTGGTTGCTGATGGAACCTACAGTCATTAGGGTTTATATTTTCCAAAAATGAGCTCAAACATGTAGTTATTGAATGCCTTCCTATTGTTAAGAACACAAGAGAACCATAATACACTGATATTTATATTTATAGGTAGTTAGAGAGATGCCTTTCAGTGCATTACAGGAGCAAATGGCCCTGATCAGTTAAGGCCAGGAGAATGGCAGCAGAATCCCCTCCAACTTCCAGGCACTGAAGTGATCCCCTCCTGCATGTTTCTTTACTCCACCCATTCAATGAGTTACATGGTCTGAACATGAGATAACGCTTCTATTTGGATATAAATGTCCACAAATCATGACAGAATATCTTAGATGGTTAAAAAGGAATTGTGGGGGACTAGCCAAGGGCCCATCGAGGAAAGTGGAGAAGTTTTGAAGGGTTACTACTGTACATATATAGAGCCCAAAAACATTAATGCATTAAAAAAAAAAAAGACTAACAGCCCATTGTGATGCCAAAATCTATAAATTATCTATTCTGTTGATTCTGTCTGTTGAATCGGGAAACACTTGTTAATTTTAAGCTGTAACTGGGAGTCATGGTTGTCATAGAAGTCCAGCTTTTATAGTAAAGAACAACACACATTAAAACTATGTTTTCTCAAGCTTCCTGCATTATAATACTAACTCCTATGAACTTATCTGTTGCTGTTTTTGCTGAAAAAGCTGTATGTCTAATGAACAGATTGTTTCGGTGGCATGATCTCTAATTATTTCAACCAACCAGTCTTCTTACTTTTACTTAAACATCAAAGTAGCTACCGGTTAATATCCACTGAGTGCTGCTGTTAGGGTTGTCAAAAGTATCGATACTCAAAAAAGTATCGATACTGAAACATTGTATCTGGATACAATACTCGTTTTTAAAAAGTATTGATACAGTACTACCACCAGTGGCACCTAAGCAGTCATTCATCTAAAGTGCAGAATAGAGGAAAATGCACTTTCTGAACACTGTGTGATTTAATAATTTTGTGCACTTTTCAGTTTCAAACTTTTTTCTGTAAGAGGTGCAGCTGCTGAGAATGATTTTTGTTTTTTTAACCGGTTTGGCT